GACCCCTGGACGTCTTCTCGTTCGAAAACTGTAAGAGAAACAAAATGCAGAAAATCATGACGAAATGTGGAACATGTTGCTTGGACAACAAGCTCAAGTCAGGAATATTGAAAATTTCTGTGAATATCTTATTCATTATTTAATATTTTGTGTCCAGCCTTTGTCCTAGAATGAATTCTATCTTAGTTTGTCTCTTCTTACTATAATGTAATATCACAATCGAATAAAGCAGCAGCTACAGTGCACCTACTATCAGCAGCAGTGGCTTCGCATTTACTACCGAAGGAGGCGGTGATAGTTCTCCAACTAATAGCCTTCCTTCAACTCCCAGTTCGTCCGTTCCACCAGATTCCTATAACTACATCGACGATAACCACCATGCGACCTATCCATTCGATCATAATCTCACTGAATCAGCTGCCTCAGACCTACTTGAAGTAGCCATTACTCACAAGGGAACCTTTCTAGATGCTCCCTTCCAATTCCAGTGATTTGTACACGGATCAATAGACCCCAGTGAGGTAGTAAATACCCTTAAGGATTCGCCCCCAGGACTCTTTAGGACACGGTTTTAACTCTAAGAAAGAACTAAAGCCTTTCTTAATGAGGCATAATTGTAGCGCACAAATTTCGATTAAAATGAGACATCTCCCAGGTCTACACAACCTTTCTTTGCAAAGTTATAGAATTTATAAGAAAGGCCCTAAATGTCAGCTTAAAGCTACAGAAATCAATACAGATTAATTTACGGCCTTTCTTGTAAATTCTATAATTTTGCAAAGAAAAGTTGTGTAGAGCTGGAGATGTCTCATTTTCATCAGAAATTTGCGGGCTACAATCATGCCGCATTAAAAAAAGGTTTTGGTTATTTTATAGTGTTCTTGAAAAACTAGTTTTCCGAAAAACCGGCTCTTAAAGCGTCATGGGCGCGAATCCTTTCAGGATATTCACTACCTCACTGAGGTCTATTGATTCTTGTACAAATCAGTGGAATCGGAAGGGGACATCTCGAACAGTTCCCTCGTCAGAAAGATGCATATCCAAGCGAGCTAGCACTCCGTCTAAAGAAAGTTGAGCTCTGTGAAATGCTTTGTAGACGTCTGATATTCGCATAAAGTTGAAACTACTGCGAAGCAACAAAATCAAAACTGAATTTAAATTATGCATTGAAATCAGCTTTTCAAGGCTTGTCAAGCATTTTATTTTTTATTTATCCATGTCATTAGTCATGACTGTGAAAGTCTCTACAGCAAAATTCTGATTTTCTGTACTTGCAAGATGTTCTCATAATCCCAACCTGAAATAAAGTGTTTTCACTTATACTGCTAAGTAGTAGAGACCACAACTGTCTTTGCTAACAAGGCTTGAAGTCCGACCTCGTTGTTCTTGAGATAGCTTTAATGACAAACAAGATGATTTTGAAACGTATTTCAAATATTTGACAGCTTTTCTCTTCACGAAAAATGTCAAGTTTGTCATCTGTATAAAAGGTTGCATTGATGCGCATATAGATAATTTCCTTGAATAAAAACTTTGAACAACGACTTAGCCGCGTAACTGTCATTTCGTCATGATTTTCTGCATTTTGTTTCTCTTACAGTTTTCGAACGAGAAGACGTCCAGGGGTCTGGAACATCTTAAATTGTAGAGATAGGTGCGCTAAATATTTTAAGACGTGCCCTCTGTCTACATGTCTTTCCATTTACACCGTACAATAGAGATACAAGCCACTACTTTTTCGGATAAATGATGAGACTATGTAAGGTCTACGGAATTCTACATAGAGAGAGCAATAGACGAACGATGATGCTGAGTTACGTTCGACATGTTTATGCTTTTGAAGCAGCCTTGATAAATAAAAAGCCTGGTACTTCGATCTCCTGAGGAAATATTCACCACGTCTTCTTCGATTGAACTACGAATTTTATTATTTTCTTGATATGGATTTTATTGTAAATTTCAAATATGTACAAAAAGGTGTTTGTTAATTTGTCTTGACTAAATACAACTGTCTCTCAGTTGGAAAAATAATATATTGTCATATTCTCATTTAAAGGATAGGCTTTTGCAGAAAAATATGAATTTTGAACATGCCGTGGTCTTTAGAAAAAATGTTCGAGCCTCTCAGTAATTCTTTATTAGTTCTTGCTATAATTTCTTGGATTCAATGCATCTAATACTTGATTGAGATCACCCTTTTTTGCCTTGATTAATTCTGTTAATACACTATTCGTATTCATGAAACCCATTGCCGTCAAACGTTCAACACATTCATCTACTTTTTTCTTTTCACGTGCTTCTTCATCCACTTGATCAGTTGTTGTCAAACCAGTGTGATTTTTCATCATTGTGCTAAACATGGACGCTAATTCTTTCCATGATGAAACGTCGACTGATGCACCGCCTGTTGTGGCAGATGGTTGCGAAGATGGCGGTACTGTTTTTGGTTCTGTGCATGTCGATGTTGAAGAACATGTTGCACTGGCTTCTTCTTGTTTTGATGTTTCAGAGTTTGTACTGTTTGCAGTTGTTGTCGAGGGTTTTGGATCAATATTATAGTCACAATTAATCCCCAATAATGTTAGAATTTCTTGTAGAAAGCGGCCAACATGTTCCAAAATATTTTGTTCATTGATTGTGCCATCTTCTCTTCGCAATTGTTCCAACAATTGTTTCATCGTTTCTGTGTGTAACCATGATGGTAAATGTTGTTGAATAAAATCCGCAATTTCCGAACCTTTGCATTGGTTTAGCAAATCGCTGACATTCAAGCTACCTTGTTTTTCGCTCCAAAATCGACGTCCTTCTCCACAGCGATCTGTTCCACTTCCAAATCGACGACCACCAAAATATCGACAATGACGTGACCATGGTTTTATCAATTTTAGCATGTTATGTTCTGAATGTAAGCCTTTGCCCATACATGTTTCACATAAATCATAATTGGGACATTCAACACATTTATAACGAATACCACGCACTTGACCTTGACATCCGTCACATATAACACCAACATGATGAACATTTTCATCACCTTTTCGTTGTTGTTGTTTTAGTTTAACAAATATTTTTATTAAGCTACCATTGTTCACGTTAATAGCTGATCGTAATTCATCATTAGATGAAAATGTTATGCGATCTTTATCTTCGTCGATGTATTGAAGTGAAAATTGGCCCACGGCATAATCCGAATTCAATTGAGCAATTTTTTCTTCTAATTCGTGATAAATATCTCTGCCAGAGGCAATATCGATCTAAAATAAGTACAAAAAAAAATCTATATATTGTTCACCTACAGTCGTTATAGAATAATCACTTACTGTGAATCGTCGAATTTCTGGATGAGTTTGATTTAAATCATCATAATAAGCTTTAACGACTAATGCTTGAGCCATTTTCAGTTTTCTGTATATGTTTGCGTTTCCTTTTGTCAACGTGGAAAAAAGAATAGCTTATATGTAAAAGTGCCGGTATTTATATACTTTTTTTTCCTGCGATAGCGTGTGATTAATAATATAGAAGGTAAAAGAAGGATGAGTAATAATAGCGAACAAGAATAAAGAAAGAAACAAGATCGAGAAGAAACGCTTATATAACGAATAGTATTACTGTATGTTAAGTTGCATGTTGACGCTGACACTGCAGAAAAAGTACATAGAATAAGTTACGTGAACGTTCTGTAGGATTTTGCAAGTGACATTCAATGAATAATTATCATTACTATGCAGTTTCTTAATACTACACCTATCTTGAGCATTTTACACCATTTATTTATGGCAATAATTGGTCAACAAATACTGGATACTACAGTTTTTGAATTGTCTTACTCTCCTTTCTCACGTAGGCTTTAGTAAACCTGATCTTAAACGTGATTTAATTTTTGTTTTACATAAGACATAAAATAGAAGCAAAGAGTTTGAGTTAAGCAAACGGATGAGAAATCTATTTAACTGTAGTCGAAAACGAAAAGCAAATAGAAAACTGATACGGAAAAACGATCCGTCACATGGCTCGTAACTATAATGATGGTTTTGTTAAAAGCTTAGAAAGTCTAAATTTCTAATTAATCGGAATGTCTGACGGTTCGTCTTGAAAAAGGACACAAGTTTTCGTTATGAAGTTCGACATATAAAATTGTTTTTGTACGAAATATAGCATTCATTGAAAAATAAATACAAATGGTACATGGAAAGTCAGCAACGAAAATATGATGATTAATCTGTTTGGTCCAAACCATTTATCTAACTGCAATGCTTGTCTGTCATTAAGAGTATTATCCCTTACGTTCTACTACGCTCTTTAATTCGAGCACTGAACTAACCGGAGGCTGAGAAGAGATTAGAAAGAAACTCATTATTCCATTTTTCTCCTTTTCCTCAAATAATATACATCTCACTTTTACACGAAATAAGAATTTCTATCTACAAGAACATAGCAAAGTTTTCCTTGATGACCCCTTCCTCCTTCAGAAATACGAAATATTATATAAGTAAAGCTGATATTGAGATAAGCATCAAAGCTGGATAGCTCATTGTAGCTTCTACTCTCAGAACTTACGCTACTTTCGATCACAATGATGGTTTATGACGCTTTTTTAATCGGCTCTGAGCAGCTCTGCAGAAGATATTTTTCAAAAAATAGACCCGTTTCATTCGAAAGAGCGAAAAATTCTGATCCCGAAAAGTTTTAAAAACTTTTTCTTTATTTCGAACACTTTTCAAGTCTGTATTTTTTTTCTACTACCCGCAGACACAACTAACTTGTAAGCTCAATTAAACACGCTTGCAAAAATACTACTCGTCTAGGTCTAACACGTCACTGTCTAAAAACTTTTATCGAGACCGATGGAAACCGCCTAGAGCTCCTCATTATATGTTCATTGAGCTACGTTGATTTTTATTTACAAGCGTAAATTTGCAGTAAATCGCACCTCGTTTTTCAGTTTTTCATTAAAAAAGCCGATTTTGTTTAGGATGAATATTCGTTGATTTTTAAAAAGAATTGATTCGCTCAGCAACAAAGCACATTAAGCGAGATTGGTTGAGGCATGCAGCAACAATATATTGTCGTTAGGAAATTTGATTGGTAAATAATTGTAACAATAAGATGGGTACTCAAAATCGCTCCTAATATTTTTTCTATCAAACAAAATGCGAGTCGGATTATCGCTGTTTAAATCATTCGATCGATAACGAGCAATTTTCAGTTATGTTTTCGTTTAATGACAAATACTCGTAAATTGTTCGTTATCTATTTGATTGATGAAAAAAACTGCAATAACACTATACAGTGGCAATTCAGTTGATTTTACAGCGATATTACTCATTTTTTACTCATACATGTCGGCATCTTCTATTGAAATTGTCCGCAATGAAGACAGTTCGACTAACGCTGTTTCAGCAGTTGTTGTAAGAAATCTAAAATGATGAATATCTCCTACTACACGACTATTATTAGTCGTATTGAACACTTTTCACCATAAGCAGTTTGTTTTATCTTATTCATTGACCGTAAAGAATGTAGTACAGTAATTACAGGAGAGCCACAAAAGCGATCTAATTAACTGCGTCAAAAACATTTATCTTTGATTCTGCTGTTTCTGATCACCATAAGCTACATGACAAAAGAGTAAAAATATGGTAAATAAAATAATAAAAGAAACAATAGAAGAGTAAGCAAATCATAAGTAAAATTGTTTTTCTAAGGGAAAGGAATGAGTTGATATAAACTTTGTTAAATAGAAGAAATGTTGAAAAACTCAGTACAGTTATGATTAGAAGGAAAAATGAACCCATTACAACTTAACATAAATTGACTGAGGACAGAGAACAGCACAAGAACACATGGATAGAAACCATACACGACCACAACATAAAAAAGAGAAATAATAACAACAACAGGAATTTAAAATAAAAAGAGAGACTAACTGAAAAAGTGTTTTACTCTCTGCTGTGTATATGTTAGAAAAGAAAAATCAGACAGGTCCGAGATTGTCCCGTATCGATGACATAGCCAGCGACTTGCAAATTCAACTGCCACCTTATCAAGAACTCCCTCAAGAATGAAAAATTAAATCTTATGTAATAAGATATAATATGTTAACATAAGTAAAGTATATGATACTTTACCTTTTCAAACAGAATAAAGCGCAGTCTGCAGAATACTGGGAACATGAAGAAATAATAATCGACATTTGTTGATAACCTTTTGCATCACCTGCAATATCATTATCGCTCTAAGTTAAAGTTTAAGCCACTTTCCCTGGATGGTTTCAGAGATATTAGCATTTCATTTCTTCTCTCTTGTGTTTTTGATGTGAACTTAATGTTTGGTACGTAATGGTTAACGCAACACCTATGGAATTGAAAAGTGTAGGTTAAATATTGTCCAGAAGTTTTCATATACCGATTACAGCACTTTTGGTGTTAACAGATCGTAACGGGGTAATTAAAGTGTAATAGAGCTTTTTTTGGTGAAAAACTGCTCTGCCCCTATGAGCAATTTCATGAGAAAGACGACTATTTCTACAGAAGCGTGCTCAATGATTATTTCATATTTTGTTCGAAGTAGCCTCATCTTGCACAGTGCACAACAACGTGGACATTTGGGGAAAAAACGAAAGTGAGATTTTTAGAGATTCAATGACTTCGCCATATACAACGATCGGTGGCCTATTTAATGGTGAAAAAATTTCTTAAATTCCTTAGGCTCTAGTGCCTAAGGTCATCGAGAAAAGTAAGCTACAATTTTTAGCTCGGTTTGTGTGGCCTTTAAAATATATTGCTCTTTCTGTCAACACAACGAACTCCAGAAAAAAATGAAACTCACATACTCTGAAAGCTGAGTTCTAGGTTTGGAGAGATCCCCCTTGGGAAACTTTATTAAAACTCGAAAACCATTCGGTTGAAGCGTCGTAGAAAACCTATAGAAAAATGGTTTAGATATGTTTGGACTGCTTTCAAATCTCATATCCACGTGCTTAGTCAAAACTGCCACTGTGTCTTGTAGAACATGGTTGAAACCTAGAATTTGTAAGCTTCCCGAACTCTTCGTTCTGTAGATATGCATTTTTTTCGACTGGAGTAAAGTTCGAGAAGTTATGTGTGTGAAAAACGTACATTTCGTTTTTCTCCTAAACGAGAAGAGATGAAACCACGATTTTTTCAGGCTATATAGTACTTAATATCTACCATATATGGTAGATATTAAGTACTATATAGCCTGAAAAAATCGTGGTTTCATCT